GAAAGGAGCCAAAACAAACGTGGCGCCTCGGAAGACACGATGGCGTACATTCTAGCAGAAATGGCCAATTTCGGGTTCAAGCATCACTACGAAAAGAACAACCATCATCCTGAGCACTTCAAAGACAAACCGATGCCAGATTGCGCCTTAATCGAAGCGATCATCGACGGACTGGCGTGTATACTAGAGAGAAATAGCACTCACTCGACCGCAACCGAATGGATCGATATTTATAAAGCCGAACGATTCAAGAAACATCCAGAGAATTACGACCTCGCGAGGGGTGTTCTTAAAGCGCTGAGAACATACATTACGGACGAGGAATACAAAAACCTGATACAGTTTCGGACGATCGTGGCCAACCTGATTGGTGTCTCGGTGCCCTGGGGTTTTGTTTCCGCAACCGCTGAGCTAACACACAAGCCCCAATGCTGCGAAGATACCGGGATACTCGCCACCTATTTTAACAAGTAGTGTTTAATAATGTATTGGACCCGTGTGTTTTTTTGTAAACCGGTGTTTTGTAACAAATGCTTTGTTATGTACAAAAAAAATAAAGACATATTACACTTTCGATGGTATACAATGAGTCTCTTTAATGTATGAATACAGGAAAACAACAAGATATGTTACACATACACATAAAAAAAATTATACCGAGCGGGTCATAAAGACATATTACACTTTCGATGGTATACAATGAGTCTCTTTAATGTATGAATACAGGAAAAACAACAAGATATGTTACACATACACATATAAAAAAAAATTTTATTTTGTGAAAACAACCGCAACTGTAACCTTCTTTTTTTCCTTCTGCATTAATTATATTGATTTATAAACAAAAAAATATTTTATACCAACTTCACAGTCAAGTCCCACGGAAAGCTTTTAAGAGATGTATATTTTGCATCAACGCGCATAAAAACTACAATTAAAAAAAGAGATGTTGTAACTTTTGTTACACAATTATATTGAACACAAGCGTGTGTGTATATAGCAGCAAATAATCCATCGGGATATTTTATATTAAGACAAAAAAAACACAACTATTACTATATATTAAAATACATATAACGCAACCATGACGGTCACAACAATGGTTGTTATAATCAAGACACACGGTAACCCCCCCTTTCTGTTTTATGTAAACGAATAAAAAACATCGTCGGCTACAACAGATCCGAAATCGCCGATCCAATCGGCCTCAATTGCGTCGTTGTTACCGTCGTAACACAGACTCTTGTCGGAAAGCAAGCGGGGGTTACATGTTATCATAGAATCCGGCAGTTCCACGAGCTGCGTTTCATCCAAGAGCGGTGCGTTGCGTGTCATGTGGACAATGCCTTTATCGCCAATAAGCGATCCTCTCATTGATAGCGTCGTGTCGTTGATCACACCCCAAGCGTCCACCATAAAACCAGACACGATACCTACAGACGACGGCGGGGCGGTCAGAATGCGACACGCTCCGACCAGAGAGCCCGTCGAACACAATCGAGGTTCCGTGTTACACCTGTGGTTTTCAACATAAAAGAACCGCAGCCAACGTTGCGTGTCCCTCACATCTTGAAGCGTGTAGCTCAAAACGGACTTTATAGTTTCAGTAGTGTGGTTGTCGTCGTCGTCCACGTCGTCCACGGTCAACGTGATGTCGATGGCAAGTTTTCCCCCGACCCGCCAAGAGTACCAAGACGCCGTCGCGGGAGGGAACGATCTGCTCTCCGACAACATTAACCGCGCAACGGTGCACGTCGCGTTGTTCCCGGGTGGATCCGGTTCGTTGACCCTAAGGTACACCTCTCCGCCTCGGTCCATGGTCAAGCGCCCCTCGTTCGCGTATAAACCAGTTTCATAAACTGTTTTTGCAATCGCGATTCCGTAGAAGCTGCTCACATCGTGACCATCGTAGACAAACGGCACGGGTCTCTGCGACCCGAGGCGAGGCGCGCTTTCTGCTGTTGCTGCGACGACGGGTCCGGTCCAGGGGGTTTGCTGTGATTTTACAATCACGGTCCACGTCACGTTGCTCGCGGCTTCGGGAGGGATCCCGTGTCGACACAAGGTTTTCCCGTCGTGTCTCATTGACACGCACGGAAACGCGTCTACGATCGCGTTCAGCGTTGCGACGGAAAGGGTTTTATCCGCGATCAGGTATGCAAACGATGGAGTGTGGAGTCCGTGGGCGCCAATCTCCGTCACTAGGGTGTTCACGGAACACCTTCGGAGTCCTTTGCTGGTTTTTGTCCTTCGACATCGGCGCGCGTCGTCGAGTTTGAGAACTTGTAAGTGCGGGTGCAGGCGAAATGTTTCTTGGAGGCTTTCGTGCAGAGCGTCGGTAACTTGGACCCCGTCGGACCGATCGAATAAGTGAACGTCGCCTTCTTTCGCAAAGACGCCGCTCGTCGCGAAACCAATCACGAACAACCACATCGACAAACGTGCCATCGTCGCGTAACGGACTCCGTCTCTATGAAGAAGCTTTCGAATGTTAGTACTATATATACTCTGGCGGTGGGGCAAATTTGTTATTGCGTTTCTACATTCCGACCGACCAAGAAACGTTAATGTATTTTTTTTTGAAAAAAAAAATACTCTATACTTTTCCCCGACCAACCAAACGGTTACAATATAATAAACATCCGGATTTTCGTATCAATGTTCCGACCGACCACGCTTACAGTAGGCGTGGTCTAATCTGAAGACAAGTATATTCACGCGCTCTCTCCTCTCTTATTTTTTGTCATAAGACAAACCTTCGCGGATTTGCGTGCGCTCCTCTTCTTCTTCTTGAGGTTTTTTTTGTTGTTTGCGCAATATGTCACGCGGAGCAAAATCCGGCGCGGATGAAAATTGGGTCGGATTGTTACAAGAGTACGCGGTTAAGTACGGTTATGGTATATATTATTCTTATACCAGCGAAGGACCTAAACATAAACTTGTACATCGAGCCACATGTACTTTAAACAAATCGTGTTCGACCTTTGGAGTCGGTTGTACAAAACAGGCGGCCAAGGCCTGCGCGGCGCATGAGATGTTGATGATATTAAAGCATGAAAATGTTCAAGACGAACCCGACCTCGAGTTCGATTGTACAAGCGTCCCCGACGAACCTTCGGTCGTCGACGATCAAACGACGGCAGAGAAGATTGAACACCATCGCGGCGACGCCGACGATCCTCCGGTCATCGACGCGCAAACGGCCCCGCGGAGGGGGCGCCAACAGCAACGACGGGTCCGTTTTGCGACAACAGAAGACCACGTTGACGCGTTGCAGGTAGTATAAATAAACAGACGCGGTTACGAGCGCGCATTGTGCGCGAGGTATTAACGTGTGGATTTTTTTTTCACAGAAAAAGAGCGATCTGGTCCCAGAATATACCTTTACGCGACTCGTGAATTCTGGCGCGTATGTTTGCGAGTGTAAATGCTCCTTGATCAACGGGTCTGACGACGTTGTTATCGCAACAGGTGTGTGTGTTTTCTTTTTTTTTGCCGGTTTCTATCATCATGCGCCGACTAAAGCATCATCGTCGTACAGTACACCCAATTGAGTATCGTGTACACGTTTGTTTGTATCTTACAGGTCACGACAAGACCAAGGAAAGGGCTAAACAATTGGCCGCAAAGAAAGCGCTGTTTTATCGCGCCCTGTGCAACAAATAGACAGTCGACTTGAGAGCGCAAGAGAGAGAGAATGAACCTCCTCCACCAATTTGTAAACAACAGTACCGCCGCGACCAACGGTACAGCGGTCGGATGTTGTGCCCACGAAGATTTCAATCACCGTTTTTGTTACTGGAGTTTAGTTTTGGTCATTCTAGTGACCGCGGGGCTCTGTGCGTGTTGTCTTTATAAAGCATGTAATCTATGTGTGCAAACTTACAAAGAAATGACGGGGCCGCGCAAAGCCAGAAGATCATTTACAAGTTTTGTATAGCGTAACACACATCGATTGTTATTGTATTTTCCTGTATGTTACGGATTGGTGAAAATAAAAAAAAATACGGAGTTGTTGGTTTCATATATATTTTTAATATACATACATAAAATATTTTGTTTTACTACACAATAAACCAAACAAAAACAACAATCCTTTTAAACCCGTTGTTGGACTTGTATATAAAAGTCTCCGCTATCTTCTTGCGCTACTCAAGCGCGCTTTAAGGAGAGTCGATGTTGCGCTCTGCGATGCCGCTGTCCTCTTCGTGATGATGATGATGATCGTCTAATGGCGCTAACACCGACGAATCTTGGGGTTGTACTTCACGCGTTGTCATTGCACATGTGGTTGGCACATACACATGATCGGTACGCCCGGTAGTGTAAGTTGGATTGCATACGCGATATATATATTTACGGCGACTCAACAGCCTGTAAGATATCGCCGCGGCCACACCAATCACCACCATAATAGGTGCGGCTATTAGAGATATTCGTATCCAGTCATTCTCCTCTTTATCCGCCGCCGGCCACCACCAATAATAATATTGGCTTGCGTCATCATCAATCATCATATGTGTATATAGAACCCGTTCTTTATATGATGAACAGAGAGACGAGACAACAACGGTTTTTGCCTTGAAGATAATTTCGCTTTAATAGTTTTAGTATAAAACTCTTGATGAAAAAAAGACGTTATAAAAACACACACACACACATAAAAACTCTTGATGTTTTAAAAACCACTGTATAAAAAAACACAAACTCTCACATTGTATATAAAAAAATCGAGGCACCAATGGCGGATCGGCGGTTCATTCACAGATAGATCATTATTACAGTTGTCATTGGAGAAAGTCGAGGCACCAACAACGTTGGATCGGCGGTTCATTCACACAGATAGAAGATCATTATTACAGTTGTAATTGGTTTTAAAATAAAACAAACAAACAAACACACATATAAATGTTCATCTACTACTACTATATATCACAGAAAAAAACATCCGCAAAAAAAAAGGCATCAAGATGTGTCACCATCATCGCAGGATCCCATATTTATGACATAATACCGTATCTGCTCGTCATCGTCTGCATGCTCGCGTCTCCGTAATCGCCGTCCGATCCGTGTGCGCCGTTGAACATTTGCATGATATCAATAACTCCTCCGCTGTTGTGTTCCGACATTCGAGGGTACAGGAGGAACTCATCGGCCAACAAACTGTTGATGTGACCGCGCCCGCCGTTGCCGTGTAGTCGGTTCACTATCCCTCCGTTGGTCACCTCGTCGCCGCGCAGCGGCGTATTCATGTGACACTTTGCCGCGATCCACGTCACAACATCCGGAAGGGAAGGTAACATTTCGCACGGAGCTGTGTCCAAAACAACGGTTGCGGAGCCTTTCCCGTAAGTTAGTTCCACCCACTTGATCAGGAAATATACCATCAATCTAAAGTCCTGAGTATCGAGAGCCGTTGGAATAATTTCGGTCAGCGTCAGCTGAGTGTTAGTTTCGTTGTCTTGGCACCACATGATCAAGATCACCTGAGTTTCAAATACAAAACACGCCCAGTGAAAAGTATATTTGTCCATCGTAACGTTAAACAGTTTACACAGGCACAGGTCTGGCTCCAGCATGTCGGTCACATTTGTGGGTTTCTTTGAGCCGGTGGCGATGTGGTTCCAAAAGTTTCGCGTGTGGGGAATTGCCACGTATCTGTGCGCTTCTGTGGTTTGTAGCGGAGCATTGTTCAACCATCTGAAGGACACGCGGTCTTTGTTGTTCAGTAGAATGTCAAACACTGTAACAACATAAACACAAACGTAGAATGTTATTAAACCACCGCTTAAGAATAAACAACATTTATATTCAACATTTATTGTAACTTGGGAAAAAATAAACATTATCATTACCTTCGCACAACACGGACTCGTTGACCTGAGGTTGATCCAACATGGCTTGCACTTGAGCATTTGAGACACCCCCGGCTCCGCTGAGTACCATGTTCCACTCATGGTCTGTGTGCGCGTGTTGCCAGTGCGCGAGAAGATTGGCGTTGCTGTTGACTATTCCTGTTTTCATCTTGACCTTGTGAGATTTACACGTTACCCGATTTTGATTATTGGCGAGGTTGTAACATTTCGTACACACGACGCATCCGCACGTGAGCTGAATGGGTTGATTGAAACCAATTGTGTACTTTATATTGCATATCAAAGTATCGTTGAACATACAGTCGCACAGGGAACATCGACTTAGCTCGTATAATATTTGTTGAATGGTTGAAAGGCCGATCGCATCCCCGCCGCGGGGCGGATCTTGTTGGTTGTTATTACTTTCGACTGTGTTGTTGTTGTTCACCGCTTCCGCCGACCGATCGTTCGAGACAGACTCATGGATTCTTGCAACAACGGGGGTTGGAGGAGGATGTGTAGGTGGCAGAAAGAAACAACATTCTTCTGGGTTGTTATTACTACCGGCAACACCGGCGGTGGTGTCGCGGTTGTTGATCTTCTCGGACACGTTGCTGATATCAACAGATGGGGGCGGAGAAGGAGGAAAAAGCCCAATAATGGGTCTAAGGAGGGCTTCCAGTGGATCGTAGATTTGTTGTTGTTCTTGCGGAAACGTCGTGCGGGCATCGGACGTCTGGTTAGCAGCAGATGATGTAGATGCCTCGCCGTCGTTGGCGATGATGCGCCGTTGGGGTGTATCGAAATAAATGATATTCTGTAGCAACTTCGAGGTCTCATCGCCTGCTACAATCTCGGGTTTTTTAATTTCGCCGGGTGTGTCGAACGCTTCGTAATCGTCGTTATCCGGCACCATCTGATCAAGGGGATCGTTGTATCCGTTCACAAACGCCACGTCTTCTTCGTGAGGCGAGAAGTCACAAGTTGTTGATGACCTGTAAAGGATTTTTTTTTAAAAAAATGCTTCATGTCTTATTTTGAAAAAAAAAAAACATTTTTGAACAATGAAAACAGAAGAGATTCTTACATAGACGGCGGTGGTTGTTGTAGTATGTTGACAGGATCAGATGGACTCGCCTCTCTGTTTGTAACTTCAAGCGTACCACCGGGTTTCGTTGTCGCCAAACTTGTGTAAGGAACAAAAAAAACAAACGTTTTAAAAAATAACATCTAATAAGTCTATGTTTTTTAATCAACTTTGAATTTATGACTCACAATAAACTCTGGTTTTCAAAGCTCGCCGGTTCCATCGCTTCTTTGCCCCCCTCATCCGTTTTAGGACCGCCGGTTGTGTCTTCTTCGTGTTCTCTCGCGTACAAAGCGTTAGTTTCTTCGATAATGGAACGCATATCCCGTAGAACGTCGTTCACAACGTGCTCTGAAATTTCTACGGGCGCGCGTGTATCATTGTCCTTTTCTTCAGCACAACATTGTGGTTTTATGGCTTCGTTTAACGCGTTGTCTTCATCGGCTACAAAGACGACCGACTTCTTTTCTTCATCGGATATAATAACATTGACCACTTGCGGAGTCGAGGCGGGTGTCGTTTCTTCTTCGTTTAGAGGTCTAAAAAGAGCGTTTACAGACGTCGACGCGTCGACTTGATCAGCAGCAGTAACACCGGTTACTGGTGTGTTGGTGGTGTGTTGTGATTGCGCTTTAACAACAGAAGATGATGTTATTTTCGTGGGATTATAATGTCCCCGGGCTTTGGCACAAGAACGCGGGGTTGGTGGTGTTGGTGTTGTATCTTTTTTTACAATAGGTCCTTTACGTTGTTTTTTCATCGCGGGCTTCTTCTCTAACAACCTCTGCTGTTTTACAATCGAGTTGCACCTTTGAAGTTCACGCTCCGTTTCCGGACTAGTGTCTGTTTCGCTGTCTTCGCCGTCGAAAGCCAACAATTGAATTTGAGGGGAGCGTGGTGGTGATGCGAGCGACAAATGGTCTTCGTCCAAATCCGAGTCTGGTTCATTACCACCATTTGTTCTATCGGGATGCGTTTGCGTCGCGGGTCGAGATGATATATCTTTAGGTTGCTCGTCGTCGGATTCCGACGACGATGAAGATGATTCGGATGAGCCGTCGGATGATGATGATGATGATGATGATGATGATGATGATGATGAGCTTGTAACAAGCTTCGCCGATTTACGCGATACCGCAGACTTTGGTTGTTTAGGCGCGGGTTCATCGTCGTCGTCAGATGATGATGATGAGTCCGATGAAGTACTTGAACTAGATGATACGCTCTTTCTACCACCGGTGCGTGGAGGAGGGGCAATAACACGTTTTGAAGAAGGAGGTTCTTCGTGTTTACTTGATTTTGGTTTAAGCCAGCTGCGTTTGCGACGGTGGTTATGCGGCGACGACGTATCCTCAGTTCTTTGTTGTTGTTGTTGTTGTTGCCCTGTTGTTGTTGTTTCTGATGCTGTGCCACTGTGACGCCGTTGTTGTGTATTTGAATTGAAATGTTGCCGTTTTAAATGAAACCCTCTCCGTTGGTGTTGTTGATGTGTTGTTGAAGCGGTGGGGTTTTGATCGTCGTGCGCTGCGGATGATGTTAGCTGCGTCTTTTTTGACGGTCCAACGCTTTCAACGCGTCGCGGCGGTGACATCCGACGATCGTGTCGTGTATATGCCTGTCGAGCGTCGTGATCTTGTTGCACGCTGTATCTGCTACCGTCTCCGTGTCTGATGCGATTGGAATACCTATCGTCAACACGGCGGTGATCTGTGTAATATCTACTACGGTCGTGGGGTCTTGCTTGATAGTGATGTCTTCTGTTATAACCTCTCATTGGACCTCGCGGGGTCTGCTGTGGCCTGTACATGAGTTGTTGTTGTTGTTGTTGTTGTTGTTGTTGTTGTTCCGGCGGTGGCATGTGCTGCTGGTAATATTGTTGATGATTTATATACTGACTAGGAGGATAGTCCCAGTTGCTACCAACCGAGTAGTGATGCTGCGGTATAACAACCGCCTGTTGTGTTGCGGATGTAGCGGCGGTAAACATAGATTGTTGCGTTGCTTGTTGTCGCCCCTGATCACAAACAACATCTACGTTGTATGCACGCTGTTGAGGCTGACCCGGATTAGGGTATAGCGCGCCGGGGTGTTGTGCATACGCGCTGTAAACGACAAGCAAAAAAAAAACACAAAGATAATACGCGCGTAAAATAAAATGTAAACAAATACAAGCAATATACGCGTCGCATGTGTGTAAAAAAAAACATCAAATAAAATACACACACCTTCTGCGCAGCTCTTCGTTGTTCAGCTGTAGTCTTCTTTGGGCCATGTTGCGTATAACCTCCGGGACGCCGTCGCGCGTATCTTGTCCATACACGTTATTGTAGCTTGCCATTGGAGCTCGCGTTTGTAGTCCGGTCCGAGTTCGGTATCTTCTTCGTCTTCTTACGACGTTTACACCGCCTCTACCTCCGCGCTACTGATCCGGTCACGGTAGGTTGAGTTATTTTATACAGAAAGAAACAAAAATATATAACTCCTCCTTTAACGGATTCTATTCATCATTTAATCCTTTAAGTGGCAGTTGTCAAAAAAAATCATGACTACAACGGGTTAATCATCACACGATCACACCCAGTAATGCGCTAGACTCTCTATCTACCAAAACCGGTTCTACCGTCATGGTTGGTGCAATCTGAGTAAATAACCCGCGTCTCAGGATGAGCGATCCTTTTAAATAAACACTACTCAATAACTTCACACCGACCGACCGTACCGCTACACCGAAAGCTCTTGTAAATATAACCGACCGTCCGCGTAAACCGACGTTGCTTTTAAAGTTACTCATCGTCTCATCTGCCCAATCGCGCTTTCGGGCTCCCATTACGCCGACCGACCGACCGACCGGTTTAATTTTAAGTTGCACGGCTGTTCCATCCACCGACCGACCAAGTTTAGCTCTGATCCAGATCGCGACCCGTATCGCTTTACCCCGACCGACAGACCAAGTTTAGCTCGGGCTCAGATCGCGACCCGTATCGCTTTACCCCCGACCGACCAAGTTTAGCTCCGGTTCAGCTTGTGACCCGTATCGCTTTACGCCGAATGAACAAGTTAATTTAAGGTTGTCCTCCCGACCGACCAAATTTAGCTCGGGCTCGTGCGTTGCGACCCGTATCGCATTACGCCGACCGACCAAGTGTGCGCTCCGGCGCCATTTACGGCTCGTGTAACATTTACAAAAGGCCAGTCTCTCCTGTTGATCGCGACCAAAATGAATCCGGGAGAAAACACGACCTCAGCAGCAGCAGCAGCAGAATACAACATGCAACGGTCCGCCGGCGAAAATGATGATGATGACTACGACTCGATTCCGCTTTCGGACGAGAGCGGACTCAAATATTTACTTAAGATTCATCTAGACATCGAGACTAGACGCGCCGATGTTGAGCGGGGGGAGGCCTCGAGTGTAACGAAGAATCCCGGACCAGAAAATGTATATCACGCGTACAGACTGGGTATGATAGCGTGGCTTGCGTGGTATCTCAAGAGGTCTCAAGAAAAAAACAAGTGTATAATCGCGGCCGTGGACCTCATGGACAGATATATAACGCGATGTGCGCGCAACGGCGCCCGTTTGTCGTCTGTGTTGTGCAACGTGCAACCGATAGCCATGACGTGCCTAGGTATGGCGAATAAGATGTTTGCGAGCGACCTGGGCGCGAATACGCGCGACGTCGGGCGAGTCCCCGAACTGCCGTTGCTGGAGGGAAAGTTAAAAAAATATCCGCGGTTCATGAACAAAGTCCCCGTAGACGAAACGACTCATGTCAAGTGGGAGCGCGAAATAGCGATCGCGATGAACGGGGATTTGTTTACGATGGAACCCGAACGGTTGGTGGATGTAATTTGTACGCATATACAACAAAGAACCGCCGTCGAGACCAACAACGCGAACATGACAAAGGGTCCCCGAGCGCTTGCGATGTCGTATTTTATCAAGACGGAGCTGGACGCGAGCTACACGAGATTCCTCCGGTGGCAGCGCATAGCGAGCGCGTGTTTACTTGCCATCAAACACGCCACGGGCTCCAAAGAGGATGTCGTTGAAAAGACAACAAAGAAGCTGCTCGCGGACGTCGGCTACGCGGATGGTGTCGACGGAGTGCTGGCGTGTTCGCGTATGCTGGCTGAAAAGGATTGTTCGGTGTGCTCCGTGTCATTCCACAGCCAGGACATGACCGACGCGTTGCGATACATCGCTGGCTCGTATTGTACATTATGTATGGAAAAATGTGCGCGCAAGCGTCCGATGATGGAAATAACAAAGCGCGGCGTTGACGTAACCGACGCGCGCGTATAAATACACGTGTACATACGATTTGCATTATTATAGATTTCTTTATACGGAGACGCAACAGCGTTGTCGACCTTGTTTGTGTATATTTTTTTTATATAAAAAAGTGTAAAACACTATATGGACAACGGCCATCAACGCGTGTACCCGGGTGAACGCGCACCGGGTGATGTTATTACAAGAAGATCGCGTACGGACTACGCGTGTTTAGACTGCGGCGGACTTGCGTTGCCCGGCTTCGAATACGACGATGACGATCGATCTTTGTACAATCACGTGTACGTAAACGACACGATGGGCGGAAAGTGTCGCTACGTTCAAGCGCGCTTCAAAAATAACCGCGATGGTTTATGCATTGCAGTGGGAATAGCGAGATTCAGGCAAGGTCTTGTGGCGTTCCCCGCGCTGATCTTTAACGTGCAGTCGGGCTTCGTAGAGGT